TGACACTTCTCTTTTAACAGAAATTGTTTCGTTTCCAGCGTGCGCTAGAAGCCCTTATTTTAAAATGTACTTTATAAAATTGTTTACATTGGGGTGAAAAGGAACAGAAAAAAAAAATTTTATGCGCCGCTTCTTCCCGTTGCCATTTAATTGTTTCGATTTGTGAAGCTCCTAAACATTTAATTGTTTCGATTGGTGAAGCTCTTCAACATTTTTATGTCAATTGGGAGATTTTATGATTTTATCAGTTTTTATTTAGCAATTTGTGTAAAATTGTTGTTTTAAGTTTATTTATCCCACTTCTACTCATACTTGTCCTAGTTTACCCCTATGGCATGGTTTCTCTAAAAGCAAAAATTTATATACTTAGTTATAATTGGCTAAAAACCTATAGGGATTGAATCGGTGCCTGAAAAGAAGGCTTATTCGTAAAAACTTGTATGGTTCAGCTTATATATCAAATAAAAAAGATATTGCAACTACGCTAAAAAAAAGTTACGTGTCCCACTTCTCCCAAGGCTTCCTTAGATTTAAAGAACATTACTTCTAGATTTGTTTTTTTTAATTAGTAAAATAAACTTGCTTTGCGATAATTTATTTTATAGCGGTAGTTTAAAAAGTTGATGTCCTTAAATAATAAAAAAATATATATATAAATATTTTTATGACGTCGGAATCACGACGAGCTAATTGGCTAATACGTTTTTTATTTAAAACAAGGCCTGTTATTGCATATCTTTTATAAAACAAACTGGTACAAAAGATGAATTCAACTCTCAACAAGAAAACAAAAATTAAAAAACTACCCAGCCGGCACAAGACGTGTCCAATACGTATTCTATTTGTCTTATTTTCGTATTATACAAATAATACAAGTTGTACACGTTTTAAATACGTATACCCGTATACGATAAAAGTGTTTGAGAAGTACTTTCAATACGAGGTACTTTCAAAAAGAGGTTTTCAGTTTCCGCGTCGTAAAACAAAATCGAGCACGTTTTATCATGGAAGTATAAAACAGATGGAAGTTCATCAAGCCGCAAACATCAAAGCAATTTCAAATCGTCTCGGCAGTATGCTTGTAACCGACAATTAAAAAAAAACAAGTTTTACTGGATAAAAAAACAACAAAATTCACTGAAATGATCTTTATTAAAACATTAAAAAATGAATTATTCTAGGGATATGTTGCAAATTTTTAACCATTAGTAATTGCAATTATTCAACAAAAGCTTTATTAAAACTCGGTTATTAAATAGAACCACTTGATTTTAAAAACATATGTTAGTTTAAGCTTCTTTTCTTGCTTCAAGTCATAACACGACATTTGATAAAAAAGACAACTAAAACAATTTTTAAAAAATCAAAAAAATTGTTTTCTAAGTAACTAAAGTTTAAAGTTTTATTAGCTGTATATGATAACTCCATTCATTCTTGTAGTACTCCATTCATTTAATATAAAGTTTATAAAAAAGTTGTTGTCTGCCGTTACGTTGCGCCATTTTTAATGTTTTTTATGAATATTATTGGCGAACCTTCAAAATACTATATTTTTAAATTATTATAAACGTATCTATTTGCGTCAACGTATAAAGATAAAGCGTTTAAGTACAGTCTTGATGTCGTTTTCTTATTGTTTACGAAACAAAAGGTTACAAGCATAGTCCCGAAGAATTTCAATGCGGTTGAACTTCCATCTCTTTTATACTTCCATGGTTTTATGTAGGTTATTGATTTTATGTACTTGTAAAGAAATGGCGTATTATCGTAAATACAGAAGATTAAATGCTGAACTTAAGAAAATCGTTAAAGACGAGGATAGTTTTAGTTCTAATGAAGATAACTCTTTGGTTACTGATACTTTATGTGTTAAAAATGTAGTTTCGGTTTGCACTAACGACGTGACTAGTAAAAATATCGATTTAGGTGTGCTCTTTGAGTCAGACAGCACGCCAAAATCCATATCGTTAGAGTCTGACCGAAGTTATGATGAATGTGATTTTAATACTGTTCCAGCAATGCATCCTACATTAGACGATGATAGTGGTCACAGTGATAATGGAGATTATGATATCACTTATGGTCTAGTTAGCTTATCATGTAAATACAATTTATCAAGATCCTGCATGGACGATTTACTCACACTTTTAAAAAAAAGTGGATATTGCTATTTGCCAAAATATTCACCTACATTGCTAAAAACTCCTAGAAAGATTAATTATAAACAAAAATGTGGCGGAGAATATATTTATTTTGGCATAAAATGTTCAGTATTAAAGCAGTTAGTTTTTCTTCCGAGTTTTCATTTAAACAACGATTCTATACACCTATACATTAACATTGATGGACTTCCTTTATTCAAATCATCAAAAGTTCAGCTTTGGCCTATTTTAGGTAAATTTGATGGTTCAAATGTTTTTACTATTGCTTTACATTCTGGAACAAGCAAACCTAATTGTCTTACAAATTATCTTGATGATTTTATAAATGAAATAAATATTTTGAAAATTGATAGTAAATTTTATCAAAATTTACCATCAATTTTCAGCATAAATTTTATCATTTAAATGATAAAATTTATGCTGTAAAATCCTTTCTTAAGTGTATAATTGGTCATACAGGTTATAATGCATGTGAGCGATGTCAAGTAAAAGGTTCTCGTGATAGTAACAGAACTGTTTATAATGATGATATTATTTATCCACTTCGTAAAAAGGAAGAGTTTAATCAATTTCTGTATATAAATAGCCATCAAGTGCAACTATCACCATTAGTTAAAATAGATGATTTTGACTGCATAAAAGGTTTCATATTAGATTATATGCATTTAGTGTGCCTTGGAATTACAAAAAAAATATTAATCTTTCTAAAATCTGGTCCTAGGATATGCAAATTATCAAACTCACAGGTATTAGAAATATCTGCTAAACTTATTTCTTTTAACGGTAAACTTCCTTCAGATTTTGCAAGGCAACCACGATCTTTAGAAGGTTTATTATTTTGGAAGGCAACAGAATTTAGGCAGTTTTTACTTTAATTAGGTGTTATTGTTTTAAAAGGCATTGTTTCAGATGCAATATATGAACATTTTTTAACATTTAGCATTGCAATGCGTATTTTATTGTCTAAAAATGATGAATTTCGTAATTACTATCTTGATTATGCTTACAATTTATTAGTTTATTTTTGCCGAAAAGCCAAATTTTTATACGGAAATACGTTTTGTGTATACAATGTTCATTGTATTATACATGTTCATGATGATGTAAAAAATTTTGGGTGTTTAGTTGTCTTCATTTCCTTTCGAAAATTATATGCAAACATTAAAGAAGTATATAAAAAACTCCAAAAGTCCTATTGTGCAAGTAGCAAAACAGCTTTCTGAGTTGGAGAATTTACATTTTATGAAAAATACAAAAACCCTGGTCAATAAAGTTAGTATTCGTTTTCGTGACTCGTTATTTTTATTAGAAGACAGCACTTTCTGTTTTGTTAAAGAGATAGATGGAGAAAATTGTATATGTGATACCTTTAAGAATGATCAGCTTGTATCCTTATATAAAAGTCCTATTGATTCTAAGGAATTAAATGTTGGTATAATAGATATGAAAAAGATTCGTTTTTGTCAAAAAATGTTATGTAAGTCAAAACTTATCCAAAATGCTGTTGTGTTACCTTATAAAAATGGTTTTATTTGTATGTCATTAATTCATGAATTTATTTGATTTTATTTACTAGTGATCTTTGTATAAAATAAAACTAATATTTGTAAACATAATATTTTTGTTTATTTAATTGCAGATTTTTTTAAATATACAACGTTTAACATAAAAATTGATTATATTAATTACTCCTTAAGTTTTCTCAATTTTAATTTTTGTATTAAAATTTTTTTTTGTCATAAAAAAGATTAAGGTGATATTGATTCTACAATGGGGCATAGCAGAAAACTGAAAAATTACCTTTCTCTAATTCAATGATCTACTAATTAGTCAAATATAAAAACAAAGTCTTTGATAATTATTTTTATATTAGCCTTGGTTAAGTTAAATATGGCAAGCAAAACTGTTAAAAATAAGTTTCTTTGGACAAGAGTTGTGTGGGAAGAAAAAGTTGGTTCTCAATTTGAAGATGTAATTCCAGCACATTGGGTAAATGAAAATAAGTGCGTGGTATTTTGGCCGTCAACTATGTCAGTCCAAAGAGCCATTTTGGAACAAATTAGCGTTGACAAAACATGGAGAAAGTTTAAATGGATTAAAACTAAAAATGTGGATGGTAAGTGGTTTGCTTGTATTATTTTAATCTGTATTTATTATATATCTGATTATAGTATATCGGTAATGTTTTTTTTTAGAACATAAACAGCTATGTCTTGATTATAATTTTACTTCTGGAGCAGAGCAATGTAGCTCAGAGGAGGAAATAGATTTGGAAAATGCTGCAGGGTATAAATTTTTATATTATTAGCTCAATTCTATTAAGCTGTTTTTAATTTATACGTTTATAACTATAAAGTATTTTTATGACATTTTATTAGGAATCATTACTAGTGTCGAACCCGAACTTCCTAAACCGCCAATAATCACTTTCAAAGAAAATAAAAGTATTATTATATTTCTTTTAATTATGTATTTAATCATATTTTTATTATTAATGCAAGTTTTTATTCTATATATAAAAGAAGTTGTTTTTTCAACAAATATTGAAAGTTTGTTTATAAAAAGCCTAATTCAAGGTTTACCATTAGTTGTCAAAAGTAAAATCATGAAATATTTGTTCTGACACAATAATTTTTAATGTTCATATATTTATTTTATTATATATGCTTTTATTAGAATCTCATGTTGTAGATTTTCATACCAATCATACAGAGTCTAGAGTTTCAGTAAAAACAAAACGACATACATGTCCCTTTGAGTTTGCAACAGGAACGTCAATTAAAAAATCTTGTATTAATGTTTGAAAATATATAATATTGAATGTTAAAATAGTTGTTAGATGTGCTAAGATTTCAAATTGCTTAATATTTTTCCTTCAGAATAATATTTATAATTTAAATTAAATGTATATTTAAATCAGTTCAAAACAGAAACCCATCTAAATTATTATTTCTTTAGAAAATGAAGCAAAAGACTTGCCAATTGCTAAGGAAGGTGATTTTAGTTTTCTCTTTTACAAAATGTATTAAATTTATGTTTGTTTTTATTAAATTTTTTCTTTCTTAAATTCATTTCAAGTGTTGTGTCTATATTAAAGGTAACTTTAAAATAATTTTTTTTTTCAATTTTATACAATGGAATAAACACTGGTATATATAGCTATAGCACAGCTATACCATCTGGATTGGGCTTGCAGTAAATATTGCCACACTGTAATAGAATTTTAATAAATCACTTTAATTTTTATGTATACTTAATCAAGATACCCATCAGTAATATTATTAAATATGTTACTTAATATTTGTTACAATACTCTTTAATATCTTTATTAAAGTTGTCAGTAAATTTATTGAGCGATTTATTAAAAGTTTTCAAATGTTATTATTTATAGAAATTATTAACATTGTGGCTTCAAAAGACAACAAAGATGAATTTTCTATGTCTGAAGAAAGTAAGTTAAATGTTTTTATTAGTTATTGGGCCATTCTAGTTAAATAGCTAAATATTCTCTCATATCATTTAGAATATCGAAAGCGATCCCTAAAGTTGTTAATAGAAATTAGAGATGGGATTAACCGATTATTAAACACACCGAGTATCAGTGGAGCTATCAATATAATTAAAGTTAATGACATTTCAGAACTATATGCTGCAAATGATGAATTGAAAGATGCAGCAGTAATGAGAAATGCTGTAAGTTAATATATTGGTTTGAAACCTAGGCATGAAGTGCAAAAAGCAAATATAATTAAAGTGAAGTAACCTACTAAATATCTAGTTAAGCTTATTCTTCTTGTTATTTAGTAATCTAGCTGTGTCAAAACAGGACCATTCAAGTTATATGACACTTTATTTTTTAGGCCCCCCACACATTATGTTGAAGTAATACTAGTTTTTGGTTAATTCTCTCTAACTTTATATACATTTTTTATTGTAACATTTGTTATATCTGTTTATAGATAGAAATGTTAAAATGTGTAGGAGGAAATGATTGTGGCGAAATGGTGCGCAATATTTTAGACGGGTATGTTATAATGTTGTGTTTAAAATAAATACTCCAATTTATATATTTGAAAATTTCTGTTTTATAAATCTATGTAATGAAAGTTTATTTTAAAAAATGTGTTTAAGGTTGTTTAGCATTTCTGTAATATCGAAAGTGAACATGAAAGGGTCATCTAGACAGGGAGAAGCAAAGATAGCATTTAAGAATTTAAAATTCTTTAGTTTGATTCAAGGTAAGAAAGGTAATTTATTTTATTGCATAACGAAGAATAATATTTAATGTAATATGGTAAACTATTTTTTATTTTATTTTCCAAATTAATAGTTGAAAATTGAATTATTTATGTTTTAGAGGTAGTCACCAGGTAATACAGTCACGTTTCAACAAAAGAACTTACAGCAGCTATAGGAAATAAGCTAAAGAATTCTCCTGGACAACTAAAACGCGATCAAGCATCAAGTTGAAAATGTTGTATTGTGATTAAATTAAATATTGATTTGATATATTAAGTTATTTTTAATAAATCAAAACTTCTTTCCTCTAAAAATAACATATATGTTATTTCAAATTATTTGATGCAATTTCAAATTATTAGATGCTTTTAATGCGAAATTATTGTAAACTAAAATATATATATATATATATATATATATATATATATATATATATATATATATATATATATATATATATATATATTAGTTTACAATAATTTCGCATTAAAAGCATCTAATAATTTGAAATTGAAATTACTATTTTAAATTAACAGATATAAATATTTTAGATAAATAATTATTTATCTAATTTTACTTTTTAAAAAATATATAATATTTAAAGATTATATTCTTTTTAAAAAGTAAAATGAATAAAAAAATACGACACAAAAAAAGATTATCTTGCAAAAAACGTTATCTTGCAAAGGTATTATTCACGTCTTGATCGCAAATCTTAAATACGTGATTTTATGTACGAGTTAAAACGTATATAAAAAACGCATCGTAAGCGTATGTATAATACGTCTTAAATTTATGTTTGATAAAACGTATTAAAAGTTTGCGTTTAAGACCAATACAAGACAGTTTAAATACGTGTTATAGTATTTTAAAATACGTATATAAAACGTATTATATACGTATTTGTGACGGCTGGGTAACTACCCAACAAACCAGGTTTTAGTGTATTTATTGTTGATCTGTATAAACATTTTGAGCAGTTTTGCTCAAATATTTACTCACATCAAATTAAGCAATTTACTTTGTAATTGCTCAGCTTTACGTGAATAAAACATTAGGCAAATTGCTAAACTTTTAATTTACGTAATGCTAACCAATTAGTGAGTAAAAACAATTGCTCATTTTTATTGACCCAACATATGTAGCAATTTATTAATATTCATTTGTCACGGAACTTAAGGTAGACATTAAACCCGAGTTAATGACAAGAAAGAGTTGCAGCACTTTTTTCAAAAAAAATTATAAACGATAAAAGACTATGCAAATATATAATGTAATAAAGTATATATCAAGTTTTACATTATTAATTTCACTTTAAAAATTTCATTGAGGCATCTTCTTAATTTTGATCTATAGCATTTTTTGCCGTTTTATAAAGTTTTTATTATACACCGTAAAATCGCCTAAGTTCGGTCATATGAGCTTTGAATATTTATTTATCACGCATAAATAATTTTTAATTTTTTTCCTGGAACATACAAAAAAATATATTGATAATTGATATTGTAAAAATAAAAAAATGAAATTTAAAACTAGTACTCAATATTTAAACATATACTTTGACCGAACATTCATTACCATCTCATAAGTTCTTCCGCTATGCGAATACTGATAACATATCACAACTTAACGTCTCAAATAATAAAAACTAAGTTTTAAATAGTGTTTTATTGTAAATTACGATATAAATTCAGGTAATACCAGTAACTAAGTGGGGCATAATAAAATATTTTTTTCAGTTAATTTAAAAAAGGTTTTTTCAATTAACAAACAAACGTTACTTTGCTTTTGCATGTATTGTTGACCAAAGTAGAACAGCAAGATCCTCAAAACCACTTGTCACGGGATTTGTAACGCATCGATATTTGTCGTTGAGCTGCAATTTTATCTTTACAAAAAATGTCACAACCTTGATATTTTTTAGAACTCAAGGAACCGTCATTTAAGTTTGATGTTATGAACAAATATTTTTTATTTAAATAAAATAAAATAAAATTTTTTATTTAAATAAAAATTTTTTATTTAAATAAAATACTATGGTGAGTATCTATTACAAAAATGTAAAAATTTACTGGTAAATTTACAGGTAAAGTTACCGGTAAATTTTACATTCGCAACACTTATCAACATTTAACAATATTACTGCCAATTGTCTGCTTCGCTGTTTATTCGTGAATGACCGAAATTAGAGTTTTTCAAAAATTTGCTAATTTTTATAAAAAAAGTTATTAACTTTTAAAAATTAATATTTTGTTTTTTGTAAATACAATTAATTTGGTGATTCTTAATAATACTAAAATTAAGTTTGATCATTTATTTTAATAATTTCCTTATTTTAGTTTTTAATAGTATGCATTTTTTCAAATTGTTGTTTTGCTAAAGAATTATTTCAGCAGGTTGCATATAAACATTATTATTATTTTTTAAAAAAGTGTATAAAGTTTGAGTTTTGCATGCTTTTTTTATATTTATTCTTAAATAGCCAAAGTTATATGATGACTAAACTTAGGTGATTTTACGGTAATTAAAAAGGTTTCACTTGCCAACATTTCAGCGAGGCAGAGTATTTAGCTTGCGGAGCTTTTGAACGAAATAGCTTTCATTTTCAAAAAATAATAAAATAAAACTGGTAGCATTCGCTGCTCGAATGCTACCAGTTTTATTTCATTCTTTTTTGATTTTTTTTAAATACAAAATAAAACACTATTGAAGTTTTAAAGATATTATAAACACAAGTATTATACATTATAACAAACAAAAGAATTTTTAGAAAAGCTAAAAGTTTTAAAAACATCAAATCAACGGGAAAAATTTGATGCGTTTGCGTCATGATTATAATTCTTACGTTATTAATGCGCTGAGTTAATTAGTCCTGATAAGCTGCAGATGATCGGAAAAAAAATAATGGTCTGAAATCTAAAAAAGGAAAAAAATTATAAGCAAGTATCAAGAAAAAAGTAAATTTTATTTTAGCAATTTAAAGTCTTTTTAACTATATATATTTTTTTTGTACAGCCAAGTTGAAAAAACTGCAAATATTTTTTGTTAAGGGGTGGATTTAAACCTTTGCAAAACGGCAATATTGATAACGCATTAAACCATATAGTGCTATAAATTTTATCCATGTAATTGAAAAACAAACATTTTTATAACACTTTTTAAGCGGGTTTTTTAAATAAGATGCGCTTATTTGGAGAACTTTATGCTTTATGCTAATTATGCCTCGTTGCATAGAAATAAATTTGCGGTTATATATAAACTTATATATAAACACATATGTTATATGCAAATGTAAAAATTCCACTTATATAACGTGTCATACAGGATCGTGTGTAATATAAGAAAACCTTTTTAACAGTTAAATGTCTTTTTTGCTTCAACTGCTTTGATTTGAACTTTTGTGTTTATGTTAGTAAATTAAAAAAAAATTGACCAGATTAAAAAAACATGAAACGAATTGTCTCATCCTAGTGGAAATTTTAAAACTTCTATTTTAGATTTGCTCCTCTGTTGATAATTATTGATTTTTAAAAATGCGTCAACTTATTCTTAGACAATTAAAATGATAGGGCTTTTTTGCAGATAGTTAGACCCAAAAAATTTCGCGTATGTGACGTTACTTTTGAGGCAAAAAACTAGAAAAAACAAACAAGCTAGAAATAAGATTTTATTTAAATTTTTTTGATTTCTTTTATTAAAAATATTTAGTATACAATTTTATGGGATACATTTTAATAAAGACAAAATATGGTAAGTACTGTATTATTTCTTGAAAACTATTTATTTATTATTTTAGTAATAAATAAAAACTCTTATCCTTGAAATATTATATGTCCCAGTTTTGCATTTTGTGTGCATGAAATGTATGAAAGTTAATCAAAAAAGCGTAACATAAATGCAAAAGCAAACTTGACGTATTAATGTTTTTTTAGCCACCAACTGACGTCATAGCGCAAAATAATTTTTGGCTCAACTTTTCGATTAGCGTTTATTAGCTGAAGCCGCGTCTATAGTTTTTAATGATTTAAGATCTTATAAACAATGGTATATGTGAACTTCTTTAAAATATGTTGAGTTTGACAACAGTATTTGGAATAATCGCGTTTAATAAATCTTAAAAATTGGAAAACTTTATAATTTAATTTTAACAATTTTAAATCTTTTTAGCGATATATATTTATTTTTTTATAAACATATAATTAAGGTTGAAAAAATTTCAAAATTCATTATGTTAAAAAAAAAATTTTCAAACTTTTAAGTTTGAAAATTTTTTTATATATATATATATATATATATATATATATATATATATATATATATATATATATATATATATATATATATATATATATATATATATATATATATATATTAAGTACGTGTGTAAAAATTTCAAATTGTTTAAATGTTAGATTGTTATTTATCGTTGAAAAGAATTTTAAAAAAATATTCAAAAACTGAAAATTTTATCAAAATTGGATGATTCTACAAAAAGTTATGAGCATTATAGTGACGAAATTTGATTACAAGGATTCCTTAGCAAAAATGTGACCAATTTATAATGGTTTTGTAACTTAAACCGCCTAACATTGTCAAATCTTATCTAAATGCATATAACTTGGTATGAAAAGATAAGTGTAACATTGGGCTACAAGCTTCTTTTGCTTTTGACACTTGTGCGCATTCAGGGGGCTAGAAGGGGGACAGAAGAAACATCTTTGCCATTAAAAAATTCACATTTCTTCCAAAAAAGGTTGTTTTTTTATATATAAAACTAGTAATTTATCAGTTTAAGTTGTTATTTTTTTATTCCAGTTTGCAAGCAAATATTATAAATGTATATTATGAAGAAGGTGGATGTGGTGGTAATGGTACACACCTTAGTATCGAAAGATTCATTCTAATAAATATTTTTATCATTATTAAAATGAATGAAAACAGTAAATAATAAAACTAATATACAAAATAATACATAATAAAAATTATATTTTATTAAATTATATTATTAGTGACATAAATAAATTATAGGATGTGGGGCGTCACTCCCCCCCCCCCCCCCATCTATCACAAAAAAATAGTTTAAAAACAAAAACTAGCAGTATAAAATGTGGTAGAATACGCTCTTTCCAAATCTTAAAACTTTAAATTTAATGCTGCTTTTAAATGCTCTAAATGCTAAAAAAAAAAAAAAAGAAAAGAGAATGTATACATATGTATAATAAATAAGAAACTT